TCGTCTCCCGTTGTCTCGACTGAGGTCATGCGCCCTGTGCCAGTCGTCGAACCGGTCACCCCTTCTCCTTCTCCTCCCCCTCGTTCTCGACCCCGTCGTCGTCGTCGTCGTCCTCATCACCGCGGGCTGCTTGTGGGCTTGTCGCCCGAATTGATCTCCTCCAGGTCTGCATATTCCGGCTAATCCTTTCTCTAGTTTGCTTTTGTAGGAATGCTCCGGAGGCCAAGGCCGCGGTTCTCCCGACCATGGCACCTACGTACTCTCCGGAGGTTTTACCTCTTTCGTCGGTCCTACCCTCTCCACAACAGCCTGTGTCGTCTCAGCGGGTCGTCCCTGCTATGAGGGCTGACAGGGCCAGAGTTCGGGCCATCTTGGACTCCTTGCACCGGGCCGCTGAAACCGGGTGAGTTTGGGTTCAGGTCTCGGAGCTGATTCGCGGGTTTCAGGTCGCCCTACTTGCACCATCGACCCACTACCCCAGAACCCAAGTCTGCGGTACCTAAGACCCCTCCGAGGCCAAAGGCTGCTGTTCCTGTACTTCACGGAGCGGGTTTCGCTGGCTCCACCATCGAGGAGATTCGTTCCTCGATGGATGCCTTTGAGCGCTCGCCAGAGGTTCAGGAGAGGCGGGCTCAGAGGATGCGGTCTCTGAGGCAAGCCGAACAACTACAGTTCGAGGAGGAGTCTCCAGGTCAGTCTCGGCCATCCAAGGGTGTTTAACTTCTGCGGTGTATTTCGTCTTTCTGACTACTCAAACTACCTTCATTCAACATCCATGGTGTCTGAGTTCAGTTAATCAAAATATTCGGGTTTTCGGGCGTCGCAGACAGCGTGTCCGAGTGGTTAAGGAGGTGGACTAGAAATCCACTGGGCTCTGCCCGCGCAGGTTCGAATCCTGCCGCTGTCGGAAACTTATTTTTAGTATCCTGCTGCAGGGATTCGTCGCACTCACAACTTGGGAACACCGTCCTCACATCTTGCAATCAGATCCATGCTACGACGAGGATCTTATCCACCCGACGTGACTGTAATTTGGATCCACGTAAGTCACTGTGGGCATACTGTGTCCACAACCTGGGTCAAGGCTTACACCATGCTACTTCACTACGTTTCACCTGGAAAGCGAAGCCTACACCGGATAATCCACCGGCTCGTATGACGCACCCCACCCCCCTTGGACAAGGGTAATTAGCCTGGAAAAGCCAGTCGCCAGGTATCTCATAAGCTATATGACATCAGACTCATAAGCTCAACATTGCGCAGAGGGGTAGCGGGGACGGCTGAGCCGTCACGGCTCCGATGCACAAGGACTCGCATTCACTCAACCCAAGATCACCATGCGGTTGTACATTACGATTCGAACAACCACCATCTGGTGCAAGGACTCACTTATGCACAACTAATACAACTCCATCCGGGCCTCACCTCGCACGCCTGTGGAAGTTGCCATCAACTCACTTTTTGATATCTCACAACGACACGTGATGTACGGATCCAAGATATTTTCCGCCAGGAGTGGTAATACAAGAGGGACTAATGGTTACGCACAAGGAAACATGAA